TATGTTTTTTTTTACCCCATATGTAACTCTGTGTTGTTGTTTTTATCGCACTGCTTTGCTTTATCTTGGCCAGGTCGCAGTTGTAAATGAGAACTTGTTCTCAACTGGCTTACCTGGTTAAATAAAGGTGAAATAAATTTAATAAATTTAAAAAACCCTCGTAAACTCATGGGTATACTCGCAATTCAAACTGTTACGGTGACCGTGGTCATTTGGCTGGCCAATTACTGTCATCCAAAATTCATGACCGTCACAGCCCTCATTGTCCTTCTGTTTTATCTGAGTATATTTGTCTGATTCTGTTGGACATGGACAGAAGTGTCTGGTCATGAGCCTGTGAAGTACATTAGCAGGTTGATCTGTTCAGATCAGATGAGTGTGTAAAGAGGACTGTCTGACTGTCTGTGTGTAAACCTGCTGTTTGGACAGTGACTGTTGTGTTGGAGTCAGAGTGAGGGCAGAGCAGCGCGGTAGTGGCCTGCTGGTATTCGCTCAGGGAGTTCCTGTTGGGTTCACACATTGTGATGTTAGTGACAGAGGAGAGGTGACCGTATTATAGTCTGGACTAGGGGTCTGGTGTGCTGCAGACTGTTCTGTTTGTCGGTGCATCTCTCTGTAGATTCTCTGCAGAATTGACCAGGTCCCTCTTGCAAAACCATTTCTCATGTTACAGTAATGGGACATACTGGTCAAATTGATTTTGGTTGCACTGGTTTGAACCTTCAGTTTGAGGGTTTTGGTTATGTGGTTGTCGTTACTGTGAGTCTATTATCCATGAAACTCCTATGGCTTGGTCACTCAATAGCTGAGGACAGAATGACCATTATTGCTCAGCTGCTTTGCAAATGAAGACAGAAGGATCTGAGGCTAAGAGGGGATTTCCACATAACGCAATAATTTGGATATCCACTCTAGCTTCTCCCTCTTGTGGGTGCTAGCAAGCAGGCTAGGTAGTGCTAGGTATCAACAGCCAATCCAGTAGGGGCTGGAAGCTATAGTGAGCTTTGATTGGTCCATAGCGTCGCGATATCGCAGAGTATTTGCATAAAGTTCAGCTTTCCCCAACTCTGGTCCCGCCCTGTTCACGCTCCCTCGCCCATGCTCGCATCGCTCAACGTTCCCCCCGTCCACTTCACCTCCCTCCATTGAAAATGAATGGGGCGCCGTTGTTTCATCGCCCCCAATGTGTTATGTGGAAATGCATTGTAAGGTTGTTCAGCATGACATGTACAGGATGATCTCCATCATGTGTTCTTGCTATAGTAATTAAGGAGCCTGTGATTGCATCAATTTGACAAACACTGCAGACTGAAGGAAAGCTCAAACCAACCGTCCATCTGTTGTAACTTACCACTTTTGCATTGTATTCTCAGAGTAGATATGTTTTAAAGGAATTGTTTGTTAAAGAACATAATATTAAATGTACTGCTTTTCCACAAAAAAAAAATAGTATAGATATTCTGTGCAAAAGAAAGATAGACCCTTTCTCTGTTTACTGTAGCAAGTTGCATAACCAGTCCTGATGCTGTAACGATTTTGTTTTAGGTCCACAAGTTGGCACATGCGATGATGTTGGTTATTCACCTCACATGCTAATCAAATTGTGAATTTCTTGGTAACCTCCTGGCTGTACATGTACTGTCAGGCATTGTGCATGAGAGAAGGACAACATATTATTGGCGGAGAGAGAGGAGGGAGAGTAGGAAGAGGATAACTTATTGGTTGGTTATTTCACTGTACACTGACTGGTGATGTTTTGGACAGCCATGGAGCTGACATGTGCTCCTCCATGGTTCTTCCTGGTTAACTTAGTTCATGCCACCTCCTCCTCCTCCACACTCACTGCTAGAGTGTGCTGAGACGTTGTGTTCTGGTCATGGCTGAGAGATGGGCTAAATGACACAATCCCAATTCTCCACCCTTTTCCCAAAGTGTGCACTTGCACACTTCCTGGCATGGAAACTCCCTCTAGCCAACGATAACACCAATCAAATGCTTTTAGATTCATGACAGAAGGTGTGCAAGTGCCCACTTAGTGAAAAGGGTGGAGAACTGGGACACAGCCATGGGTTAAGATTAAGGGCACTCTGTACTGGTACAGCTGACAACAGTACAGCAGAGTACAGTCTAGTGGTGTTCCTGCTTCATCAGGGATTCCCTCAATATTTGATGAGCTTCCAGCCTTGGGATCTCCCTCTGTTTGTAAACTTGCATAATCTCAGATGACTGCTGACTGCAGCAGGATGGAAGGGATCCTCAAGCTGTAGTAATACTTAATGTAGATTTCCACATTGCCAGAGAGCTGAGGAGAAACGGATTGGGGCAGTGGTCCTGAAACATTAATTACAGAAGCAGAAGGCTCTGAGGAGGTGTTTCTGAGACTGTGCTATGCAGAGGTTAGAAGAAACTCTTCTTGCTCTAGCTTTCGCTGTTTTTGAACTCTGAGGGGGTGGAGCTCTAACACTCTGTGCCCTCAGGAGAGCTGGCTTTTACAGGAAGTTTAAAAGTTTGTGACTGCTCAAAACTAGGATTATGATGTCAATTGAATTGGCTTGTGGGAAAAGGAAAGTCATTATTTAGTGTGAAAGTAGGATAATGAATCTGTGCAATGACACAGATTCTACTGAGCTACCGGATAAGGATAAAGGATTTGTGTGAGAAAAGAAGAGGTGTTATATTAATTTTTGGTTTCTGTGTGTCAGTGTGTGAATCATATTAGAGAGTTCATATACTTCTGCAGCTGAAGGTTCAGGCATATCTTTGGTCAGCCGTGTGATTAAAGGCCTTCCCACACTGGACGTAGGAGTTAGTCTTTTACCATTATTACATGTCACACTGTGCGATGTTACCACCAGTGGTGTAAGTACGTAAGTAAAAATACTTTAAAGTACTACTTAAGTCGTCTTTTTTTAGGTATCTGTACTTTACTGTTTATTTTTGACAACTTTTACTCCAGTACATTCCTAAAGAAAATAATGTACTTTTTACTCCATACATTTTTCCTGACACCCAAAAGTCCTCGTTATATTTTGAATGCATAGCAGGACAGGAAAATGGTCCCACTCACGCACTTATCAAGAGAACATCCCTGGTCATCCCTACGTCCTCTGATCTGGTGGACTCACTAAACACAAATACTTTGTTTGTAAATTATGTCTGAGTGTTGGAGTGTGCCCCTGGCTATCCGTAAATTCAAAATACAAGAAAAACATGCCTTCTGGTTTGCTTAATATAAGGAATTTGAAATGATTTATACTTTTACTTCTGATACTTAAGTATATTTTAGCATTTACATTTAATACTTAAGTGTATTTATAACCAAATACTTTTAGACTTTTACTCAAGTAGTATTTTACTGGGTGACTTTCCCTTTTACTTGAGTCATTTTCTATTAAGGTATCTTTACTTTTACTCAAGTATGACAATTGGGTACTTTTTCCACCAGTGATATCCACCTGGCCAGATTGTACGATTTACTTCAGTTTTGTTGTCACATTCTGTGATTGGCTTGCGATGCTATATCAGCCGATGTAGGCTACGTCAACTGCAGTGGTGTATTGGATCTGCGCATGTTTCAGCACCAGCAGCGCAAGCGAATGCACGAGTGCAATTCATTCGGAAAAACTGAAATTATGCATCTTATAAATAGTTTTCACCTACAAACTTTATATGTCCAAACTCAGAATCAAATGGGCTTCCCAAAAATAACATGATCACTGTGGTACAACGTATATTTTTTGATTGCCGATTTTGTGCGTTTATCAAAATCCCATCAGGTAGCATGATTTCAGATGTGTCATGTAAACAAGATTATTAGGGAAATAAGTTTTCTTGCAAAGCATGTAAACGTTTAAATCGAACTGTTATATTAATCTAAGTATTCACAATAATCATGTTATTGTGTGCATACTCAGTGCCGGCCGTGTTCCTATTGGTCAGTCACCAGGATTGGCTCGTAACACCAGCTACACTACACGATAAAGGCTCAACATTTTTGACACGGTCAGAACTTTGTCGGCGCCTACGACTGCACGTAGCGGTACTTATTCGGCAGACCTAGACACTGTCACACTGAACGAGCCAAGACGTCCGACAATCGTTTACGACCTAAGAATTTGCCCACAACGTGCCATTTTTGTCTGGGACAGCAAGATTGTGGCATAACGGCTAGAATCGTACATTCTGTGCGGGCCTTAAGACAGGGCTGTCAACAAGTCTGGTTCCTCTTCAGGAAATTAAAAAGAAAATGAAGGCAATCACCCACGTACAGGTGAATGAATTGAGGAACACACAGTCAGGCAAAGGTCAAACTCATGTCCCAATGATCTTGTCCTTGATAGGGTGTTCTGTAGCTCATCATATGAAGACAAGCAGAAATGTAATTTATTTTGGACTGTGGTGTGATTGCAGGCTGGGCAGGTGCACATGTTTTTCTAGTAATCAATCTTTAATCTAGCTCAGGTGATTGGAGGGCCAGAGCTCACAGACACATTTGTTTTCTGAAGGACACAGTCTTGTCTTGTTATAGTGAGTGTGCACTGCACATGAAAGACAGCTTAGTGTGTGTGTGTGTGTGTGTGTGTGTGTGTGTGTGTGTGTGTGTGGGTGAGTTTAACTATACTTGTGGGGACCAGAATTTTGTTAGTCCCCACAAGGTCAAATGCTATTTCTAGGGGGTTTAGGATTAAGGTTAGAACTAGTGTTAGGGTTAGGAGCTAGGGTTAGTTTTAGGGTTATGGTTAAGGTTAGGTTTTGGGGTTAAGGTCAGTGTAAGGGTTAGGGAAAATAGGATTTTGAATGTGAAGGTGTAAAATAGTGTGTGTGTGTGAAGGTGGAACGTTAGTGTTAGAAAATATCTATCCATGTTCATGTATTATATATGAGACAATATCTGAAGATATTTGAGTGTGTGTATGCATGTGTCAATAATACAAGAATAATTTAACCCCATTGAAGAATCTGTGTGTGTGTGTGTGTGTGTGTGTGTGTGTGTGTTTCAGCGAGCTCTCCTAGAGCAGAAGCAGAAGAAGAAGAGGCAGGAGCCTCTGATGGTGCAGTCCAATGTGGACGGGCGGTCTCGCGCCCGCAGGACCAAGCAGTGTGAGGAGCAGGCTCCCCTGGTAGAGTCTTACCTCAGCAGCAACAGGAGCACCATCTACCACGGTAAGAGAGCCAGCCAGGACCCTTTCACCACCAGGACCCTATTACCAGGGCTGTGTCTCAAATGGCACCCTATTCCCTATATAGTGCACTACTTTTGGCTAGGCTCTGTATACTACTACTATATAGGCTCTGTCCAAAAATAGTGCTCTATATAGGGAATAGGGTGCCATTTTGGAAATAGCCCAGGACCCTATCAACAGCTGTTTACCATAAGAACCTGCTTCCTCTCATCTCTGATGAAGCTGCTCCAGTGGCGCCGGGCAATTACAGAGATGTCCAGTAACACTCCGGCATGGGGCCCTTTCATAGGCAATGCGACTATTCACAGCCATGACAGGGTGGTGTTGAGCCAGGTTACTCTCATAGAGTGCTTGTGAAGGATGGCTGATTGAAATACTGTATACTGCTCACTGTTTGATCAAGTTCATCTATTGATTCTTTGCTCCTGGACCAAAGGACAACTTTTCTACTGTAGTGATTTTTTTAGTGTTACTTTGTGCTCTGCATATGTTAATATTGAGATATCTATCAATGCCATGTCAAGGTCGGCAAAATACAAATGTAATACTTTATTAATGAAATGTCTTTTGTGTGAGAGAGAGAGACTCTAGGATTTACCAGTTCATGCCTTTCAACTATAAAACTCTAGTGGTCAGAGCTCTGCAGTAGTCCTTCCAGATAGCACAGAGAGCAGAGATGGTGTTCGTGCTGTGGCGATTGGGCTACTTATCTCCACAGAGGGACTTTAGCTGCAGTCTTAATCCCCAGCTCAGAGTGACTGAGTCTGGGCTCCAGGCCATGCATCCACACAGCACACCCTGGATGGCTGGCTGCTGGAGAGGAACGCAATGCCCAACACAACATAAATCAGGCAATGGGTACAAAAAAAGAACTGAAAAAACAAATATACCACTAACCATTATTAGGGCAACAATTAAGAAGTTTAAAACCATTGGAACCGTGGTAAACTTGCCTGGTAGAGGAAATGTGTAGCTTGTCCCCACGCACAGTGAGGAAGATGGTTCAGAAGGCAAAGAAAAGTCGAAGGGTCACAGTTGGAGAATTACAGAACTTGGTCGCATATTGGGGTCTCCAAATCTACAATTAGATGCCACCTCCATGCCGATGGGCCATTTGGAAGGGTTGCCATAAAAAAGCCTTTATTGAGAGCAACCAACAAATGCAAATGCCTGGAGTTTGCTTAACGGCATTGCCACTTGGATTGGAACCAGGTGCTATGGTCAGATGAGATGAAGATAGAGCTCTTTGGCCACACACACTAGAGGTGGGTTTGGCCTCGAAAGAAGGATACATATGCAGAAAATAACCTCATACTTATTGTAAAATATGGTGGGGGATATTTGATGTTATGGGGCTGTGACTTGAACCCCATTAAAAACCTGTGGTTTGAATTGAAGATGGTAGTCCATAAGCACAGACCGAAGGATATCAAGGATCTGAAAACATTCTGTATGGAGGAATGGTCTAAGATCCCTCCCAATGTGTTCTCCAATCTCATAAAACATGAAAGAAAAAAAGCTCAGTATCATTATCCTCGCAAGGTATTGAAAACAGGTGGTGGCAATAATTTTGACACCTATCTTTTTTAGATTTTTAAAATAATATAATTTAAAAAAATAATACTTTTGCATTCAATATAGCTCAGTAATTGTAATATTTATTTTATACAGTCTTTTTTGCTCATCTTTATCAAGGGTGCCAATAATGTTGGCGGTGACTGTATCTGAAAGCTTCAGAAACAGCTCAGTGCATGTGAGTGGAGTGACGTCAATACAAAGTATATTTTTCATCTTCCTTCAGTGAGTGTACATCCTAATGAAAATATTCCCTTCTGACACTAGTCAAACAGCCCCTGCTATACATAGAAGACACGGAGGCTTTGTGGCTTTGAACTTCTCCGAATATTCCCCGTTGCAATCTCAGCCCCATCCTTCCAAAGATGTAAAAAATGATGCCTTTGAGCTCATTCAGTAACACAGCAGCAAACATATGGAGAGAGTCCCTTGATTCATACCTTATGCTTAACAACACACAGATGGCTCTACACTGTTAGTGAAGGAAGCATACGCACTGTTTGGTCTTGATAAAAATAGAATCTCTCGCTCACTCTCCTGTCCTTATTTTTCACCGTCTTTAGATGAACCCCTGTCTTTTCTCTCTTTAGAACTCACGTTATCTTGGCTCTATTTTAAGAATCAATTCAGCACTCACTAAGAGGGAATACGTGTTCTCTGTACCTTACGTATTTCCGGCTGATTAACCTTAAACCTGTATACATTTCCACATCTACAGTATATCCTTCAGATAATATCTAATTGATATGTATTCTCAGTTTAAATGTATTATCCGTGAAAGGTTAAGTTCAGTGTTAAGTGGAAATGCTGTTTCATACAGTCCTATTCCAGCTTTTATTTATGTAGCCTATCTGGTTTCATTGAAAAATCAAATGGCACTTATCCTGTGGTACTTTCTGGAATTTTCAAAGAAGTACTGTAGTATGTAATTTCAAAGTATACCAGGTAAATAGCATGTCTCTTCTGCTATAAATACAATTAGTATCCAGTAGATAAATCATAAAGCAGAAAAACCTAGAAAATATTTGTATATTATTGACTGCCCCAAATATAGAGTGACATTGTTAACAGAATAAGGTGGACTAAAACAGATGAATTTAACCTAGTTCAGAAACTGACTTCAGGCTCCTGGTTATCTAAAACGGAGTGTGTAGACCTAACGGTTGTTAATGTTTCCATATATGCTAACAGTACCTTTTAGGTCATGAATACAGGTCTCTCCATCCCTCTCTGCTCTGAGCTTTTGATGCATTTACTCTATTATTCCCCTTGAAGCTGTTTGGAATAATTGCAAGAAAAATGGGTTCCCACGATGAGACTGTGAATGTCTCCGTGGGGATGGATCTGGGCTCCGGATTTTTACGAGAAAAGAGACCACTGGATATTCACTGACACTCTGCAAAACAGAGGAGGCTGTAGGGGAACTACTAAGGCAACCAAGCAGTTGAAAGGATTAAGATAAACATGTTAATTTCAAGGGACTGTAGCTACAGTATGCATTTGTTATCATCTAATCCTGGAACATGTTGTTGTTGGGAGGAGTGTCCACTGTGCATTTGCAATTTTCACAGAGCTAGCACATTCATGACCTATTTGACATGAGGCGATAAACAGTGTTCTCTCCCAGGCAAGAAAAATGCCTCTGCTGTGTGTCTGCTTTCTATAACCTTGCATAGTGTCCTCTGCTAACTCTGTCTTGTCCTGTTCTTTCTATTTCACTATAGGCTAACCTTAACTGACAATACCCTTCTGTTTAGTCTCTTACCTCATTTCTATCTTTATCATTTTCCCCCCACTTGCCTGCTAACTCCCTCTGTCCGCTGGCTCCTGCTGTGCCGTGCGTAGTGCAAGAAGCTGAACATGAGGAGGTGAAGGGGGTAGTGGACGCCCAGGCTCCTCGCTCAGCCAAAAAGGGCAAGGCATCGACCAGCTCCACCCCGCAGACAGGCAGCGGCAAGAAGGAGAGGAAGGGGAAGCACAAAGGTCAGGCTTGCTGCTGCTGCCTCCAGACAGACAGACAGACAGACAGACAGGTTACAGCAGCATGCATGGTCCTCTCTCTCTGTCTGTTGGCCGACTGTACAGCATGTCTCCATCTGGCTCAGCTCTGTCTCCTACCATGATGGAAATGAAACGATCCAATTCAAATCCTCAGGTTTTCAATGAGGAGGAAGTTTCATCTCTTGTGCCAGAATGAAGTGCACCATGTGAGAGTGTTGTGCAGAGCAATATATACCACTTTGGTATCCTGTAGAGTAAAACAGATTGCATGTGAAATGAGTTGCATAGCCACCAGACTACATATTTGTCTCCTAATCGATCTCCTTTGATAGCTGTATTGTATTGCTGTATTGTCTTAATGAGTTGAGGTCTAAAAAGTCAATGTTAAGATGCCTCTTCCCCATGCTCCATCAGTTACCTGGCTGTATGCTTCTCACTCATTCTCATTCCCATCCTTTCAAACCTCAAGCTGGATTGGACTCGGTTCTGTTCATGTTTCCGTGCCACGTCTCTGGTGGCACATAGTGGCATTCTAAAGCTAATCAAGCTGCCCTTACAGAGAAGCGAAGCGTGCACTCTGGTGCTAAGTCTGTTCAAAATCTAATCTGAGTAATGATGTTAGAGGAGTCGGTCCTGTCTGCCTGCCAAGTAAACACCTCAGTGGCTGCTGTAACGCTCCTTGGGCTTGATACAGAGTTCATACGTAAGCAGCATGAATTGAAATGGAAGTGCGTAATTGTGCTCCCTTTCTCACTTTGATGTCTCTCTCAGCCTCTGTTTCAATAATCAAAGTCCTGGTATATAGCTAGTGGCTGTCTGAAATGCTTGCTTACGAATCCTTCCCAAAGATGCGGATTTTTAAAAAAATAGTCACACGAGGAATAAAATACACAAGAATGGAGCTATATACAGGGAGTACCAGATCCATGTGCAGGGTTACAAGGTATTTGAGGTAGATATGTACCTGAAGGCAGGATACTGCTGCTACTGTTTATTATCTATCCTGTTGCCTAGTCCCTTTATCCCTACCTATATGTACATCTACCTCAATTACCTCGTACCCTTCCAAATCGACTCGGTACTGGTACCCCATGTATATAGTCAAGTTATCGTTGCTCATTGTGTATTTATTCCTCAAGTCATTATTTTTCCATTATTTCTCGTTTTTTTCTCTCTGCATTGTTGGGAAGGGCCCGTAAGTCAGAGTGTTAACCTGTTTTTCAAAGTTTTACTCACATCGGCTACGGAGAGCGAGCTCACACAGTCATCTGGAACAACAGGGATTTTCACGCAAGTGTTGTATTCCTCGAAGTGTGCATAAAAGGCATTTCGCTGGTTTGGGAGTTCTGCGTCACTGGGCATCTCACTGGGTTTCCTTTTGTAAGCCCTGCCACATACAACAAGCATCGGAGCCGGTGTAATAGGATTCCACCTTCTTCCTATATTGTCCTTTTGCATGTTTGATGTCTCGTTGGAGGTCGTAGCGGGCTTTCTTGTATGCGTCCATGTCCGTGTCCAGTTCCTTGGAAGTGGTAACTCTAGCCTTTAGCCTAGTATGGATATTGCCTGTAATCCATGGTTTTTGGTTTTGATATGTTCGTATAGTCACTGTGGGGACGACGTCGTCTATGCACTTATTGATGAAGCCTGTGACCGATGTGGTAAACTCCTCATTGCTATCGGATGAATCCCGGAACATATCCCAGCCTGCACTAGCAAAACAGTCTCGTAGCCTCGCGTCTGCTTCATCGAACCACTTTCGTATTGAGCATGTCGCTGGTACTTCCTGTTTGAGCTTTTGTTTGGAAAAAGCAAGCAGGAGAATAGAGTTGTGGTCAGATTGTATGCGTTTCTGTGGGTAGAATAAAAGTGGTCTAGAGTTGTAGCTCCCCTAGTGGCGCAAGAGATGTGTTGGTAAAAGTGAGATAGAACTAGGGTTGCAAAACTTTCAATAAATTCCCTGGTTTTCTTTAAATCTCGGTTGGAGGATCCCTGGAACCAGGAGGGAATAAGCAGGAAATCTGGAATCCTCCAACCAAGGTTTCTGGAAAACTCCCTGGGTGGAACGGTTTTGTCTCCCTGTGTTAAAGTCTCCGCCCACCAGAAACGCTGCCTCTGGGTGAGCGGTTTCTTGTTTGTTTATGGCACCTTACCGTTCGTTGAGTGGTGTTGGTTTGTGAAGGGATGTAGACAACCGTGATAATTACAGATGATAATTATCTTGGTAGATAAAAGGGTCTGCAGCTTACCATGAGGTATTCTATATCAGGTGAGCAAAAGCTCAAGATTTCCTGCACACTGGAAGCAGCACATCAGTTGATGTTTATGAAGAGGCACACCCCTCTCCCCTTGGACTTGACCGAGGCCGCCTTCGTCCGATCGTGCCGCTGCATGGAGAAACCACTGAGTTCTACATACATAGTCATCCAGCCACATCTCTGCAAGGCATATAATATTGCAGCTTTTCAAGTCTCTCTGATAGGAGACTCTCGAACAAAGCTCATCCATGTTATTCTCGAGTGACTGGACATTTGTCAATAGAACGGAGGGGACTGCCGGTCGATATTCTATTCATCTCAGTCTCACAAAGATGCCGGCTCGTCTGCCACGTCTACGCCTGCAGCGTTTTAGTAGCCCATGAAACAAAGGAATGGGGTCCTGTATAAACAAGGGAACAGCTGAGTCAGAGTTGAAGTCGGATATGAAGGTCGAAATCGAGCTTAGTAACTGTTGATCTGATGTCCAGAAGTACATGGTGGTCATATATGAAAATAGTATGAACTTTCTCTACAACAAAAAGTAAAGATAAATATGAAAAAGTCACTAAATAGCAGTCGGGTTGGAACTCGTAAGATGTCGCCCTTCTCCGTCTGCGACATCTTTGTTGTCTGCATATCTTTTATTGTCACACACCAGATAGGTGCAGTGAAATGTGTTAATTTCCAGGGATGGATATGTTTTATTTCACTCTGATCGAGTGATACCTATCCCTGATATACAGAGTGAGCCCTCCAAGCTGGTTTATGGGAAGCCCACTACCTTGTAAGGATGATATAGGTAACAGGGCTTTTTGTCATCTCAGGTTGCTTTTGTAATCCTTGCTCATCTGTTCAATGTTATTGTTTTTTCCTCCAATGGGATTCACTCAGGGCTAGTGATTAATCAGACCAGAGTCACGAAGTTGTTCAACACCGATATGGCCCCTTTCTTCTTACGGAATGATGGCTTACCTTGTCACGCACACACACACATACAGCTGCTCTCTGAAACGAGGCTTAGCTGCGTCGCTAAAGCCACATTAACAATGGGCTGCAATCTCCCTCTGAAAGCAGCAGTAATTATTGTCTAATCATGGTGTTAAAAAGACAGTCACTAATTCAGTTGGGAGCAATAAAACACTCTTTCAGAATGTGCATTTTACTGGCCGTGATTTCATCTGGCTCATCTCATTTAATCGCTTGTTGCACTGCTATGGTGGTGAGACAGAAGAGGGTGAGGAAAAACCGTATGTCAGTGACTTTGAAGCAGTAATGACTAGGGGGCCTCATTTACAGTGGGTAAAAAAGGTATTTAGTCAGCCACCAATTGTGCATGTTCTCCCACTTAAAAAGATGAGAGAGGCCTGTAATTTTCATCATAGGTACACGTCAACTATGACAGACAAAATGAGAAAAAAAATCCAGAAAATCACATTGTAGGATTTTAAATGAATTTATTTGCAAATTATGGTGGAAAATAAGTATTTGGTCAATAACAAAAGTTTCTCAATACTTTGTTATATACCCTTTGTTGGCAATGACACAGGTCAAACGTTTTCTGTAAGTCTTCACAAGGTTTTAACACACTGTTGCTGGTATTTTGGCCCATTCCTCCATGCAGATCTCCTCTAGAGCAGTGATGTTTTGGGGCTGTCGCTGGGCAACACGGACTTTCAACTCCCTCCAAAGATTTTCTATGGGGTTGAGATCTGGAGACTGGCTAGGCCACTCCAGGACCTTGAAATGTATCTTACGAAGCCACTCCTTCGTTGCCCGGGCGGTGTGTTTGGGATCATTGTCATGCTGAAAGACCCAGCCACGTTTCATCTTCAATGCCCTTGCTGATGGAAGGAGGTTTTCACTCAAAATCTCACGATACATGGCCCCATTCATTCTTTCCTTTACACGGATCAGTCGTCCTGGTCCCTTTGCAGAAAAACAGCCCCAAAGCATGATGTTTCCACCCCCATGCTTCACCGTAGGTATGGTGTTCTTTGGATGCAACTCAGCATTCTTTGTCCTCCAAACACGACGAGTTGAGTTTTTACCAAAAAGTTCTATTTTGGTTTCATCTGACCATATGACATTCTCCCAATCCTCTTCTGGATCATCCAAATGCACTCTAGCAAACTTCAGACGGGCCTGGACATGTACTGGCTTAAGCAGGGGGACACGTCTGGCACTGCAGGATTTGAGTCCCTGGCGGCGTAGTGTGTTACTGATGGTAGGCTTTGTTACTTTGGTCCCAGCTCTCTGCAGGTCATTCACTAGGTCCCGCCGTGTGGTTCTGGGATTTTTGCTCACCGTTCTTGTGATCATTTTGACCCCACGGGTTGAGATCTTGCGTGGAGCCCCAGATCGAGGGAGATTATCAGTGGTCTTCTATGTCTTCCATTTCCTAATAATTGCTCCCACAGTTGATTTCTTCAAACCAAGCTGATTACCTATTGCAGATTCAGTCTTCCCAGCCTGGTGCAGGTCTACAATTTTGTTTCTGGTGTCCTTTGACAGCTCTTTGGTCTTGGCCATAGTGGAGTTTGGAGTGTGACTGTTTGAGGTTTTGGACAGGTGTCTTTTATACTGATAACAAGTTCAAACAGGTGCCATTAATACAGGTAACGAGTGGAGGACAGAGGAGCCTCTTAAAGAAGAAGTTACAGGTCTGTGAGAGCCAGAAATCTTGCTTATTTGTAGGTGACCAAATACTTATTTTCCACCATAATTTGCAAATAAATTCATTAAAAATCCTACAATGTGATATTCTGGATTTTTTTTCTCTCAATTTGTCTGTCATAGTTGACGTGTACCTATGATGAGAATTACAGGCCTCTCTCATCTTTTTAAGTTGGGAGAACTTGCACAATTGGTGGCTGACTAAATACTTTTTTTCCCCACTGTATAACCGTTGTGTAAATTTGATTGATCAGATTTTGGAACCTATCCTATAGGATTTTATTCGATAGGACTGGTTTTAAAATCTGATCGTTTTTTCAAATTGGATTATTGTATTAGAGTCCTATAGGATCCTATAAGATAAAATTGTATAGGATAGAATACCATAAGAGTCCAATAGGAATGGTTCCAAAATCTGATAGGATTGAACCACTCCCATATTGTTGTGGTGTGTTTAAGAGGTTGAGAACCACAGGGAATTATCACTGGTGTGAGTAGGCAAAGAGATGGAGATTGTGCTCTGGAGAGACACGGGAGAGATACTGTTCCTCAGTTTACTGGGCTTAAATCTTGATTGCAGTTTAACATACAGTACCAGTCAAAAGTTTGGACACACCTACTCATTCCAGGGTCTTTCTTTATTTTTACTATTTTCTACATTGTAGAATAATAGTGAAGATATCAAAACTATGACAAAACACATATGGAATCATGTAGTAACCGAACAATTGTTAAACAGATTTGAGATTCTTCAAAGTAGCCACCCTTTGCCTTGATGACAGCTTTGCACACTCTTGGCATTCTCTCAACCAGCTTCATGAGGTAGTCACCTGGAATGCATTTCAATTAACAGGTGTGCCTTGTTAAAAGTTAATTTGTGGAATTTCTTTCCTTCTCCATGCGTTTGAGCCAATCAGTTGTGTTGTGACAAGGTAGAGGTGGTATACAGAAGATAGCCCTATTTGGTAAAAGACCAAGTCCATATTATGGCAAGAACAGCTCAAATAAGCAAAGAGAAATGACAGTCCATCATTACTTTAAGACATGAAGGTCAGATTAACAGCACCTCAGATTGCAGCCCAAATAAATGCTTCACAGAGTCAAGTAACAGACACATCTCAACATCAACTGTTCAGAGGAGACTGCTTGAATCAAGCCTTCATGGTCGAAGAAGAGACTTGCTTGGGCCAAAAAACATGAGCAATGGACATTAGTCCGGTGGAAATCTGTCCTTTGGTCTGATGAGTCCAAATTTTAGATTTCTGGTTCCAACAGCCGTGTCTTTGTGACACGCAGAGTAGGTGAACGGATGATCTCCGCATGTGTGGTTCCCACCGTGAAGCATGGAGGAGGAGGTGTGATGGTGTGGTGGTGCTTATCTCCCGAGTGGCGCAGTGGTCTAAGGCACTGCATCACAGTGCGAGAGATCCTGGTTCGAATCCAGGCTCTGTCGTAGCCGGCCGCGACCGGGAGACCCATGGGGCGGCGCACAATTGGCCCAGCGTCGTCTAGGGTAGGGGAGGGAATGGCCGGCAGGGATGTAGCTCAGTTGGTAGAGCATGGCGTTTGCAACGCCAGGGTTGTGGGTTCGATTCCCACAGGGGGTATGAAAAAAAAAACTCACTAACTGTAAGTCGCTCTGGATAAGAGCGTCTGCTAAATGACTAAAATGTAATGTAAATGTGCTTTTCTGGTGACACTGTCAGTGATTTATTTAGAATTCAAGGCACACTCTTAACCAGCATGGCTACCACAGCATTCTGCAGCGATACGCCATCCCATCTGGTTTGCGCTTAGTGGGACTATCATTTGTTTTTCAACAGGACAATGACCCAAAACACACCTCCAGGCTGTGTAATGGCTATTTTACCAAGAAGGAGAGTGATGGAGTGCTGCAACAGATGACCTGGCCTCCACAATCACCCGACCTCAACCCAATTGAGATGGTTTGGGATGAGTTGGACCGCAGAGTGAAGGAAAAGCAGCCAACAAGTGCTCAGCATATGTGGAAACTCCTTCAAGACTGTTGGAAAAGCATTCGTCATGAAGCTGGTTGAGAGAATGCCAATAGTGTGCAAAGATGTCATCAAGGCAAAGGTTGGCTACTTTGAAGAATCTCAAATATTTGATTTGTTTAACACTTTTTTGGTTACTACATGATTCCATATGTGTTATTTCATAGTTTTGATGTCTTCACTATTATTCTACAATGTAGAAAATATTAAAAATAAAGAAAAACCCTTGAATGAGTAGGTGTGTCCAAACTTTTGACTGGTACTGTAAATGTTCAGGTTTCTGTGCCGTATTTAGCTGTATATAATCTAAAATCTACATATTAGATTTTAGATTATTTGCGCTAATTTGCTGTACTTGGACAGTATGTGTTACTACATTACACAACCTCACGTTCGACCACATCAAATTGAGGGTAATTACACATCCTTTTTAGCTCAGATTAGACCGGCGGTCTTGGGACTTCAAATTATACTATCATTTTCAAACTCAAATGGCAGGGAACATTTGGGGCGCGCTCTCTGTATAAATGTCACTGGCCTCACACCAATACATGGATTTGAGAGTCAAACTATCACTCAAATAACAGCTAACCCTTGTCACTGTTGATATCCTATGGCGGGTCGTGATTTGTTAAAACAATTAAAGTTCCCTTCCCCGTTTCGGCAGCCTCACAAAACCTCCATCCGACATTCTAGAATTTAGATGACTCTCTTCAGCAAATTCTCTTCTAACCAGTGATATACAAATTATTCTCAGATTCACTGTGGCCTTTGAATGGTGTTAGTTTAAACAGTACATACACCCCAAATGTTTGCCCACGCTCTATTGATTTCAAATTGATATCGATATGAGTGATTAAATTAAGTGTTGTGTTTATCTTTCCGCGTTGGCGACCCACTTGAAACAAAATGCAACAATCCTAAATGTAGCTGGCTGTCTTCTACAAGTTGTCCTCTAACCAGTGATATACATATTATTCCCAGATTCCATATGTTTTTTTAGTAAGGTTAGTTTGAACAGGATGTGTAACCCGACTCCCTCCTCTCATTCTATTGATTTCAACATGATATCAATATGAGTGATTGACAAATAAGTGTTGCATTTCTCTTTCCGTTTTGGCGACCCCCAAATCAAAATGCATCACTACAAAATGTAGCTGGCTGTCCTCAGCAGGTTGACCTCTAACGAGTGATGTAACAATTATTTCCGGTTTCCATGTGGTTTTTGAGTTGTGTTAGTTTCAACAGTGCATATAACCTGATTTCTCCCGTAATCAATATGAGTGATTAATTGCCACTTGTCAAAACAACAGGGTTTTTGGTGCATATGCAGTTTATAATGTGCTCGTTTAAAAAAATACAAGTAATATGATTACTATTGTGGCACATGTATGTGAAGGTAGTAGATTTTATGTTTATGTTTTCAATATATCACAAGCTGTTTATTGATTTGGACACTTCAAAACTGTGTTTTGTCATTGATGATTGCATCTTGTTATTAACTTGTTATTTCTTATGAACAAATGTGTCCATCTCATCCTCCATTTGCACAAAATACTAGGCAACTTGCCTGCTTGCAATAGCAATACTTCAACCACTAGAAACTGTGCGTACTCATGGTCTAAAGTTTGCGGGAAGGTGAGCACATTCTCACGTCAAGTTAACTATCGCGTGAAGACTGACACATGCATGTTTTGGGGTATATTTTATACGTACACACGGTTTATAAATGAGGCCCCTGACCACTCCATTCGTGTGAAAGGGACTAGTAATCTGGTGCTTGAGTGGCTGAGTCATTAGCTGACTATAGCAGCAGGGACATCATGTTCTGCCCTGTTACGCAGGCTAATTGAATGGCAAGAAGCAGCGGAAGTCTTAAGAGTCATGCCGAAAATATACCACATCAACCCACAAAGGCTTTCAAAGCTGAGTTCTACTGCATGACCCCTATTACCCAGGAAATCCATTTACTTATACTGTAGTTTGAATTTTACTCCAACTGAGATTTCCAGCCTTCTTCATTCTGCATGTCATGTTTGCATGCATGTAGGCATGTTATGTGTGAGTGTTGACACATAACAGTATGTTTGTGCATGATCTAATGCATGTGTGTGTTACTACTGTTATTGTACTACTATGGTGGTCTGACCCTGATGGGGCTGGTTGGGTGTGGTGGTGTGGCAGGACTCGATGGGCCGGCGTCCTTCCAGGAAGAGGGCCAGATCCAGATCATGACGGTGGGTCATTGGGCCATGGAGGAGGGGAGTGAGGGAGACGCTGTGATCAGCGCTCAGCCACAGGGCAAGCAGGACCTGAGGGTCACCATGCTTAAGAAAGGTATCAATACATGTAGGCCTATCCCTGGCCTCTTTGGCTTCGTTTGGTCTGAAACACAGGTCAGAGAGTGTGTGGCACTCTCCAATCATGCACTACAGTGATTGGTCGGGGATTATGAGATTGTGAAGACCTCAGATTTATTATACAGTAAGACCTGTCAAACACAGCTCTCCTTTCCCCTGAGATCTTTGCCAACTAAACAGTAACATCTAAGCCAACTAAACAGTAACATCAAGCTTATTACATCATGAATAACACCTCACTAGAAACATCAACAGTACTCCTCAGATGTACACTGCTAAAAAAAATAAAGGGAACACTTAAACAACACAATGTAACTCCAAGTCAATCACACTTCTGTGAAATCAAACTGTCCACTTAGGAAGCAACACTGATTGACAATAAATTTCACATGCTGTTGTGCAAATGGAATAGACAACAGGTGGAAATTATAGGCAATTAGCAAGACACCCCCAATAAAGAAGTGGTTCTGCAGGTGGTGACCACAGACCACTTCTCAGTTCCTATGCTTCCTGGCTGATGTTTTGGTCACTTTTGAATGCTGGCGGTGCTTTCACTCTAGTGCAGTCCTTCTCAAATAGTGGGGCGCGCCCCCCTGGGGGGAGTAGTTTTTTTTTGCACCGAACAAAAGCACAGAGTAGGAGATATGAAGTGCAGATAACAAACCCTTAAGAGACGCCATGGAAACATATCTAACAGGGATGAAAAGAAAGGCGGAGAGAGACGGAGATAATGAGACAAACGTAAGTCTCCCGAAAGCTAAGACGAGGAAATATGACGAAGCGTATGTAGCGCTTGGCTTCACTGTGACTACGGTGGGAGAAGAGGAAAGACCGGTATGTTTACTGTGTCTAAAAATGTTGGCAGCGGACAGCATGAAGCCAAATAAATTAAGGCGTCACTTAAATACATTACACCCCAATCACGCTGTTAAGCCGCTTTAGTTTTTTCAGCGAAAACGTGCCGAATATTGCCAACAATCGTCCCGCTTTGTGAATGCTACTTCAGTAAACCAGCGAGCACTGTTAGCATCATATAAGGTGGCGTGCCAAATTGCTCAGTGCAAAAAAAAAACACTCCATAGCAGAGGAGCTGATACTGCCTGCAGCATTAGACATGGTCTCTGTCATGCTGGATGACAAAAATAAAAACTATCCCTCTGTCCAATGACACTGTCGCCAGACGTATAAATGACATTGCTAACGATCTTAAAGAACAGCTGGTAGATAAACTCAAAGACAAACGTGCCTTTTGCCATTAATCCTGACTTCCTCATTTTGCTAAAAAAAAAATCAGCACAAATTGTTTTATTCATTTTTGTTTTATAGGTCAGTGTTTCATATATTGGGCTCCTGAGTTCATGTTGCTGATCAATTTGAATGTATTATTATTTATTGATTATATTTTATTTTATTTTTCAGTATCAAATGGTCAAAAAAAAATTACAGTTTAAATAAGGCACATTTCAGGTAAATTATGTACTTTAAGTATTTTCTGTTACAGACTAAAAAACAATGTTAATAAAGTTATTCTTTGTTGTAAGTTGATCTATATTTCTTTATTTTATTTTTATTTTCTTTAATGTTAATAAGGATACAATGTTATGCAGAGGTGTACTTAGAACAATTTCATAGACAAATGATACTATTTCCAGTTGCGGCGGAGAGTTGGGGGGCGCGAAATGTTTACTTCTTCCTAGGGGGGGCGCAACAGAAAATAATTGAGAAGCACTGCTCTAGTGGTAGCATGAGACAGGAGTCTACAACCCACACAAGTGGCTCAGGTAGTGCAGCTCATCCAGGATGGTACATCAATGCGAGCTGTGGCAAGAAGGTTTGCTGTGTCTGTCAGCGTAGTGTCCAGAGCATGGAGGCGCTACCAGGAGACAGGCCAGTACATCAGGAGACGTGGAGGAGGCCGTAGGAGGGCACAACCCAGCAGCAGGACCACTACCTCCGCCTTTGTGCAAGGAGGAGCAGGAGGAGCACTGCCAGAGCCCTGCAAAATGACCTCCAGCAGGCCACAAATGTGCATGTGTCTGCTCAAACGGTCAGAAACAAACTCCATGAGGGTGGTATGAGGGCCCGACGTCCACAGGTGGGGATTGTGCTTACAGCCCAACACCGTGCAGGACGTTTGGCATTTGCCAGAGAACACCAAGATTGGCAAATTCGCCACTGGCGCCTTGTGCTCTTCACAGATGAAAGCAGGTTCACACTGAGCACATGTGACAGACGTGACAGAGTCTCGAGACGCCGTGGAGAACGTTCTGCTGCCTGCAACATCCTCCAGCATGACTGGTTTGGCAGTGGGTCAGTCATGGTGTGGGGTGGCATTTCTTTGGGGGGCCACACAGCCCTCCATGTGCTCGCCAGAGGTAGCCTGACTGCCATTAGGTACAGAGATGAGATCCTCAGACCCCTTGTGAGACCATATGCTGGTGCGGTTGGCCCTGGTTTCCTCCTAATGCAAGACAATGCTCGACCTCATGTGGCTGGAGTGTGTCAGCAGTTCCTGCAAGAGGAAAGCATTGATGCTATGGACTGGCCCGCCCGTTCCCCAGACCTGAATCCAATTGAGCACGTCTGGGACATCATGTCTCGCTCCATCCACCAACGCCACGTTGCACCACAGACTGTACAGGAGTTGGCGGATGCTTTAGTCCAGGTCTGGGAGGAGATCCCTCAGGAGACCATCCGCCACCTCATCAGGAGCATGCCCAGGCGTTGTAGGGAGGTCATACAGGCACGTGGAGGCCACACACACTACTGAGCCTCATTTTGACTTGTTTTAAGGACATTACATCAAAGTTGGATCAGCCTGTAGTGTGGTTTTCCACTTAATTTTGAGGGTGACTCCAAATCCAGACCTCCATGGGTTGATACATTTGATTTCCATTGATAATTTTTGTGTGATTTTGTTGTCAGCACATTCAACTATGTAAAGAAAAAAGTATTTAATAAGATTATTTCATTCATTCAGATCTAGGATGTGTTGTTTAAGTGTTCCCTTAATTTTTTGAGCAGTGTATTTATTCATTTCTTTGAGAGTGGATCTCTCTCTCTAACTTGTTTTGTCCCTCTTGGTAAATAGGTTTACAGTTTCCACCACCTTTTGATAGCTGAAAACATACTGTACAGTGACAGTTGAATAGATTTTTCTTAAAAATTGTCTTGGGCAACCAACCAATTCAGGTAGCAGCAGGTAAACTATGACATGTGGCTTATTTTGTGATACTTTTAGTGAGCACGCTACAGGTGTTTATTGGCAGCTTTTCATGGCTCTTTCCCTGTTGGTGTGAGAGCCTCATACGGTTCAGACTCTACCCAGAACACTACCCTGCCTTTAGACCTACCTCTCCATGAACTGATGTTTCAGAACAGAGTCTTATGTGTCTATGTTCTTGTGTGTTGTTTCTTTGTGTATGGTGCTTTGTGAATGGTACAGCATGCATTTACAGTTCTGTTATTATTCAAACAGCATTACTAGGAGCATGACAATGCCATTACGTTGTGTATTTTCTGTTTATGAAGGTATTTCTAGTAGTATGAACTTTGACGAAGAGGAGGATGACGAGGATGAAGTCAGTTCCAGTTCCTCCCAGCTCAACAGTAACACACGGCCAGGCTCTGCCACCAGCAAGAAGTCCTGCAAGGTACTACATCTGATGCTCTGTGTTCACCTATTGATTCCTGACTCCCGGATGGAGCCTTTACTTTACACACAGCGTGCACTAATGCACCATCTATTTGCTTTGTTCTTCTGTTCAGCGGTGCTCAAAGTCAGCCATTAGTCCATTTGGGGAATGGGGATGGAGCAGTTTTGTGTTTTGGGCTACATTATGATCAACCTATTCCTCTTTTGTATCTTTATTATTGTCATTTGCTCTGTAGTTTGTTGATACATGGAAGCAGCCCAGACATTTTCTGATGTGAATCGTTTTACCTAATGGAAATGGAAAGTTTTTTCCCTGGATCTCAGAACCTAAGCAGTCTCATGAATCCCTCTGAGAGGGGAAAGGGGAACTTTTGTATATTCTTTCCTTTCCTGCCGTCTGACTCAGAGGTAGAGCTAGTCAGAGGAGGCGGTGGGCTGTGTAGTCTCCTGTGGTTCGAGGAGGTTGAGGGGAAGTGACTCTTTAGTGTACTGTGGGCTTTAGAGAGGCACCAGGAGTGACATCAGAAGCTGCCCTGAGCACCTGACCATGTCACCAAGCTGCTGAGACACAGTCTGTCTGTTACCGTAAGTTTGGTTGTTAATCATGTCTCCTCGCTGCCTGGTCCTTCCATGTGGATCTAACCCCCTGTTGAATCACAGAAGGCGTCTACACAGCCTCATGGTTTTAAACACAACGTGCTAATGTAGTTTCAGTCCCCAATGGATGTTTTATAATAACCGTTACCCTTTTATAATGGAAGGGAATCAGAAAAGCCGAAGGTCCGGTAATCTGATGTTTTCAACGTGGCGTGGGCTGATGGGCTGTGTCTCTCTGTCCCTCAGGAGGCAGCCTCAGCGTCCACCCCTCCCGTCAGTGAGCCGGCCATTGACGTGGACGACCTGGAGGAGTTCACCCTGAGACCAGCCCCTCAGGGGATCACGGTGAAGTGCAGGATCACCAGAGACAAGAAGGGCATGGACCGAGGCATGTACCCTACCTACTACCTCCACCTGGAGAGGGAGGATGGGAAGAAGGTGAGTGTGGAGCAGAAGGATAAATACTTATCACACTGACCGAATGCAAAGTGTGACCCTTTAGGGCAGGGCTGTTAAATGTCGGTCCTGGATGGCCAAAGAACGACTGATTTTCATCCTCTCCCTTTACTAAGGGAATGATTTAGACCTAGGACACCTGGTGAATGCAATTAACTACCAGGTCGACACAAAAACAAGAAGTGTTTTTGCCCTCCAGGACCAGAATTGAACAGCACTGCTTTAGGGCCACCATCCATCCTGACACCACTTGGCCCTCTGCCTATGAACAAAAACTGGTGTCAAATACCATCGTGACACTTTGAATTAGCACGACCAATCAACCGTGACAGTCTGTGAAAGGAGGACATGCTTTGATTGTTTAGTGGAGCTGGTTAGATGAGGCTAATTTAGGTGTTGCAGCCTCATGTCCCAGGGCTTATTGATGATGGTGTTGTTTCTGATGTTGTTGCTTTGCTAATTTGATTTGTTCTTGCCAAAGGTGTTCCTGTTAGCTGGAAGGAAGAGAAAGAAGAGCAAAACATCTAATTACCTCATCTCCATGGATCCCACTGATCTGTCTCGTGGAGGGGAGAGTTTCATCGGGAAGCTGAGGTCAGTGAATCTGCTGCTGTTTCTTCTGACCACAGGGCTGCAGCTGCCATTTTCACAATAAAGAGCCCATCATTATGGGAAATCCAGATTACCTTCCAAGAAACTGTGGAAGATGGTTGTTTCTCTTTCAGACTAGGTCTGTGGGCAGAGGTATTACAGCAATGTAGAGTAGAGCAAACTACTGATTGCAGGCTCATACTTATTTGTCAACTCCATGGCATTCTCTACCCATAAAAATATATTATGCAAGAATGACATTTGCCTTTTTGGAGTATGAATGTGCTGTTTGATATATGCTGTAATGAATTGGGGGCTATTCAGGCCCACACCTGGCTGCTCTCTTGGAGAAGACAAAGTCATTGGATTTATTACTTCCGTTTGAGCGCTCATTGTTGGGATGAGGAAGCAACACCTGCGTGTTGGCAGCCAGGGGGCCAGCGTTGATTAAAACAGGGACAGAGAGACCCTGTGGGCACACTGGAGAGGGAGGGGCACTGCTGCAGCCTGCACACCCTGACAGACGCTTCCTATAAGGATGTGTGGGTGGGTCTGCACTGACTACAGTATGTCTACATTGTTTTGATTCATCAGCTTTGTGTGTGTGTGTGTGTGTGTGTGTGTGTGTGTGTGTGTGTGTGTGTGTGTGTGTGTGTGTGTGTGTGTGCATGCTGTGTGCACATACAATTGAAGTTGGAAGTTTACATACACCAAATACATTTAAACTCAGTTTTTCACAATTCCTGACATTTAATCCTAGGAAAAATCCCCTGTTTTAGGTCAGTTAGGATCACCACTTTATTTTAAGAATGTGAAATGTCAGAATAATAGTAGAGAGAATGATTTATTTCAGCTTTTATTTCTTTCATCACATTCCCAGTGGGTCAGAAGTTTACATACACTCAATTAGTATTTGGTAGCATTGCCTTTAAATTGTTTTACTTGGGTCAAACGTTTCGGGTAGCCTTCCACAAGCTTCCCACAATAAGTTGGGAGAATTTTGGCCCATTCCTCCTAACAGAGCTGGTGTAACTGAGTCAGGTTTGTAGGCCTCCTTGCTCGCACACGCTTTTTCAGTTCTGCCCACACATTTTCTATAGGGTTGAGGTCAGGGCTTTGTGATGTCCATTTCAATACCTTAACTTTGTTGTTCTTAAGCCATTTTGCCACAACTTTGGAAGTATGCTTGGGGTCATTGTCCATTTGGAAGACCCATTTGCAACCAAGCTTTAACTTCCTGACTGTCTTGAGATGTTGCTTCAATATATCCACATAATTTTCCTTCCTCATGATGCCATCTATTTTGTGAAGTGCACCAGTCCCTCCTGCAGCAAAGCAGCCCCACAGCATGATGCTGCCATCCCCGTGCTTCACGGCTGGGATGGTGTTCTTCAGCTTGCAAGCCCCCTTTTTCCTCCAAACATAACGATGGTCATTATGGCCAAACAGTTCTATTTTTGTTTCATCAGACCAGAGGACATTTCTCCAAAAAGTATGATCTTTGTCCCCATGTGCAGTTGCAAACCGTAGTCTGGCTTTCTATGGCGCTTTTGGAGCAGTGGCTTCTTCCTTGCTGAGCGGCCTTTCAGGTTATGTTGATATAGGACTTGTTTTACTGTGGATATAGATATAGTGGGGGAAAAAAGTATTTAGTCAGCCACCAATTGTGCATGTTCTCCCACTTAAAAAGATGAGAGAGGCCTGTAATTTTCATCATAGGTACACGTCACTATGACAGACACATTGAGAGAAAAAAAATCCAGAATATCACATTGTAGGATTTTTTATGAATTTATTTGCAAATTATGGTGGAAAATAAGTATTTGGTCACCTACAAACAACCAAGATTTCTGGCTCTCACAGACCTGTACCTTCTTCTTTAAGAAGCTCCTCTGTCCTCCACTCGTTACCTGTATTAATGGCACCTGTTTGAACTTGTTATCAGTATAAAAGACACCTGTCCACAACCTCAAAACCAGCACACTCCAAACTCCACTATGGCCAAGACCAAAGAGCTGTCAAAGGACACCAGAAACTAAATTGTAGACCTGCACCAGGCTGGGAAGACTGAATCTGCAATAGGTAAGCAGCTTGGTTTGAAGAAATCAACTGTGGGAGCAATTATTAGGAAATGGAAGACATACAAGACCACTGATAATCTCCCTCGATCTGGGGCTCCACGCAAGATCTCACCCCGTGGGGTCAAAATGATCACACGGGGGGACCTAGTGAATGACCTGCAGAGAGCTGGGACCAAAGTAACAAAGCCTACCATCAGTAACACACTACGCCGCCAGGGACTCAAATCCTGCAGTGCCAGACGTGTCCCCCTGCTTAAGCCAGTACATGTCCAGGCCCGTCTGAAGTTTGCTAGAGTGCATTTGGATGACCCAGAAGAGGATTGGGAGAATGTCATATGGTCAGATGACACCAAAATATAACTTTTTGGTAAAAACTCAACTCGTCGTGTTTGGAGGACAAAGAATGCTGAGTTGCATCCAAAGAACACCATACCTACTGTGAAGCATGGGGGTGGAAACATCATGCTTTGGGTCTGTTTTTCTGCAAAGGGACCAGGACGACTGATCCGTGTAAAGGAAAGAATGAATGGGGCCATGTATCGTGAGATTTTGAGTGAAAACCTCCTTCCATCAGCAAGGGCATTGAAGATGAAACGTGGCTGGGTCTTTCAGCATGACAATGATCCCAAACACCGCCCGGGCAACGAAGGAGTGGCTTCGTAAGAAGCATTTCAAGGTCCTGGAGTGGCCTAGCCAGTCTCCAGATCTCAACCCCATAGAAAATCTTTGGAGGGAGTTGAAAGTCCGTGTTGCCCAGCGACAGCCCCAAAACATCACTGCTCTAGAGGAGATCTGCATGGAGGAATGGGCCAAAATACCAGCAACAGTGTGTGAAAACCTTGTGAAGACTTACAGAAAACATTTGACCTGTGTCATTGCCAACAAAGGGTATATAACAAAGTATTGAGAACCTTTGTTATTGACCAAATACTTATTTTCCACCATAATTTGCAAATAAATTCATTAAAAATCCTACAATGTGATTTTCTGGGAAAAATAATCTCATTTTGTCTGTCATAGTTGACGTGTACCTATGATGAAAATTACAGGCCTCTCTCATCTTTTTAAGTGGGAGAACTTGCACAATTGGTGGCTGACTAAATACTTTTTTTCCCCACTGTACTTTTGTACCTGTTTCCTCCAGCATCTTCACAAAGTCCTTTGCTGTTGCTCTGGGATTGATTTGTACTTTTCGCACCAAAGTACGTTCATCTCTAGGAGACAGAACACGTCTCCTTCCTAAGCGGTATGACGGCTGCGTGGTCCCATGGTGTTTATACTTGTGTACTATTGTTTGTACAGATGAACGTGGTACCTTCAGGCATTTGGAAATTGCTCCCAAGAATGAACCAGACTTGTGGAGGTCAAAAAATTTTTTTCTGAGGTCTTGGCTTCTTTCTTTTGATTTTCCCATGATGTCAAGCAAAGAGGCACTGAGTTTGAAGGTAGGCCTTGAAATTCATCCACAGGTACACCTCCAATTGACTCAAATGATGTCAATTAGCCTATCAGAAGCTTCTAAAGCCATGACATCATTTTCTGGAATTTTCCAAACTGTTTATAGGCACAGTCAACTTAGTGTTTGTAAACTTCTGACCCACTGGAATTGTGATACAGTGAATTATAAGTGAAATCATCTGTCTGTAAACAATTGTTGGAAAAATGACTTATGTCATGCACAAAATAGATGTCCTAACCGACTTGCCAAAACTATAGTTTGTTAACAAGAAATTTGTGGAGTGGTTGAAAAACAAGTTTTAATGACTCCAACCTAAGTGTATGTAAACTTCTGACTTCAACTGTACATACAGTGCCTTCATAAAGTATTTCCACATTTTGTTGTGTACAGCCTGAATTTTAAATTGATTAAATGATTGTGTGTCACTAGCTTACACACAATACCCCATAATGTCACAGTGGAATTATGTTTTTACAATATTTTACAAATTAATAAAAACAATTTAAGCCGAAATGTATTGAGTCAATAAGTATTCACCCCCTTTGTTATGGCAAGCCTAAATAAGTTCAGGAGTAAAAATGTGCTTAACAAGTCACAAGTTTCATGGACTCACTCTGTGTGCAACAATAGTGTTTAACATGATTTTCGAATGACTGCCTCATCTCTGTACCCTACACATACAATCATCTGTAAGGTTCCCGCAGTCGAGCAGAGAATTTCAAACACAGATTCAACCACAAAGACCAAGGAGTTTTTCCAATGCCTTGCAAAGAAGGGCACCTACTTTTAGATGGGTAAAATAATTAAGCAGACATTGAAAATCCTTTGAGCATGGTGAAGTTATTAATTACACTTTTGGATGATGTATCAATACACCCAGTCACTACAAAGATACAGGCATCCTTCCTAACTCAATTGCCGGAGAAGAAGGAAACCGCTCAGGGATTTCACCATGAGGCCAATGGTGACTTTAAAACAGTTACTGAGTTTAATGGCTGTGATAGGAGAAAACTGAGGATGGATCAACAACATTGTAGTTACTCCACAATACTAACCTAAATTACAGAGTGAAAAGAAGAAAGCATAAAAATATTCCAAAACATGCGTCCTGTTTGCAGTAAGGAACTAAAGTAAAATGGCAAAAACAATGAACTTGTTTGTCCTGAATACAAAGCGTTATGTTTGGGGCAAATCCAACACAGCACATCACTGAGTACCACTCTTCATATTTTCAAGCATGGTGGTGGCTGCATCATGTTATGGGTATGCTTGTCATCGGCAAGGGAGATTTTGGGGATAAAAAGAAACAGAATAGAGCTAAGCACAGTCAAAATCCTTTCAGTCTGCTTTCCAACAGATACTGGGAAACAAATTCACCTTTCAGCAGGACAATAACCTAAAACACATGGCTAAATATACACTGGAGTTGCTTACCAAGACGACATTGAATGTTCCTGAGTGGCGTAGTTACAGTTGTTACTTAAATCGGCTTGAAAATCTATGGCAAGATTTGAAAATGGCTGTCTAGCAATGATCAACAACCAACTTGAGCTTGAAGAATTTTAAAAAGAATAATGTGCAAATATTGTACAATCCAGGTGTGCAAAGCTCTTAGAGACGTACCCAGAAAGACTCACAGCTGTAATCGCTGCCAAAGGTGATTCTAACACTTTTTTTTTTTTTTTTTGTCATTATGGGGTATTGTGTGTAGATGGGTGAGAAAGAAACAAACACAACAAAATATTGAATAAGTCAAGGGGTATGAATACTTTCTGTGACCAGATTTCTCTGTGGGGGCTTATGTCAAATTTAAGAGATTTTTTTGCTAATGAGCTCTTTTTCGTTTACGCACATTCGGGATAGTTCACACGCTCTTAAGCCTTAGCCCCATCCATCTCTTTAAGAATTCACATGTAAACACATGTCCAGCAACCGTCAGCGTGGTCAACGCTCCATTATCTCAACAAATCGTGGCAAGCAAGGAAGGATCCTGTCTCTCATAATTAAACATTTTTATTCATATTATACGGATCCCGTACAAGTTTGTGATTAAGGCACATGAGAGTTCACATGTTTGAGAAGGCATTTGTGCAAAACAACAAAACAAATATGTTAAAATGGCCCTACTGTGAAGTAGGAACTAGCGTCAAACGCCCCCAATCCTGTAACCAGTCACATATTGTCTGGGCCTGCTCTTTGTCTGTGCTAGTATAGTATGTGCCATGGCTCCAGGCTTTGATTTCCAGGAAGGCAGTGACATCAGGGCTCCTTAGAGATAGCATCAACTCTGCCACAGCAGTGGCTCCACAGAGAGAGCCCCCCCAGGTAGTCTAATCAAACATGGCCTGGCCACGCTCTTCATTCATCTGGTGTACTGGCTGCTTCTGATGGTCGATAGGCTACGCTCCCCTCCGCGCCTCTCGTCCCTCTCGCTCCTCACGCCTCTATCATCACAGTAACACTTGACTGATGGAGAGCTGGATTGAGATGAGCAGCTGACCTTTCACCTGCCACTTGTGAGAGTCATGGACAGGCCGCACAAATGAGCTCCTGACTTTTCATTTGACCTTTAAGAGCCATCCAATCCATCATTAGGGGCTCCAGTTTGTGATTAAGGTAGAGGGATTAACAGAGATATGAGCCATTATTCAACCTTGCTGTGCAGACATCTCATCTAACCTGTACCATCTGTTTATTGCCATATGATCATTTATTTTGACATCTAATAACGAAATAATGCTGTTTTAATTTATAAGTTCACTTTACTATGGCAATAGTATAAATACCATGATTGCATGTACTGTAAGATATGACAAACACCACCGTAATTGTATATTTGAAATAATGAGATGGTGACATTTGAACGACTGGTAAACGGTTGAGTCATTAAAGACGATGATGATGATGATGATGATGATGATGATGATGATGATGATGATGATGATGATGTTAACCATTTACAGTGATTGCTCATCATGGTCTGGATACAAATGTATTGTTTCCTTAAGGTTGATTAGTAGAGGCCTTTTTCCTGCTCATTGAGTCTGATTGCAGGATGGGCTCCAGGAGGTGGCTGATTAGGGATAATGGCCACTGCCTTCATCTGTCTCGATGACTCCTTGTCCCTTTAGTATGGCATGGCATACTCACCCAGTCCCTCTGTAACCCTCAGTGTGTTTTCTCTTCTCTGCAGGTCCAACCTCATGGGGACCAAGTTTACAGTGTACGACAGTGGACAGAACCCTGGGAAGACAACTTCCAGCCTAGAGGCTACTAACCTGCGGCAGGAGCTGGCAGCCATCTGCTATGTGAGTCTTCCTGTTGTCTATTACCCAGATACAAACAGGCAAACAGAGAGCTACTCTCAGGCCCATAGCTAATTAGCGTTGACTTAGTCTGGGGGAGACATGGATGTGTCAGACACAAATAAGAGAGGAGAGGCAAGCAAGATCAAATCCATACATTGAGTCCAGAGACAGCACACAGAGCGCTACTCTCAGGCATTAGGACCAGCCCCGTAGCCCCTTAATAACAGTGCCTTCCTCTGGGGAGACATCGGTGTGTCAGACACAAATAATAGCAAATAAGAGAGAAGAGGCAAACCTGGATGAATCCATACAATGTCATGGGGGTTAGTAGGCAAAGGCACAGAGCATTAGTGTTGGAACATGGCGACACCTAGTGCTCACAATTTAAATGGCAACGGTTTCCACTCATACTGTGGTTGACATAGACCTGACCAAAATACAAGTCCACTATACTTCTTTTTCAGGAAACCAACGTTTTAGGGTTCAAAGGACCTCGTAAAATGAGTGTCATCATTCCTGGAATGAACATGGACCATGAGAGAGTCGCCATCTGCCCACAGAATGTAAGTTAACAAAAATATTCCTCAAGATAGGTAGAGTATGTTAGGGTCTGGTGGTGTGGTTTCAGTTGGTTGCCTTGAATAATGGTTCACCGGTCTCTGACTCCTCCTCTCCACTCAGGACCATGAGTCTTTGCTGGCGCGGTGGCAGAACAAGAGCACAGAGAGCGTGATCGAGCTTCACAACAAGACCCCCGTGTGGAACGACGACACGCAGTCGTACGTTCTGAACTTCCACGGCAGAGTCACTCAGGCCTCAGTCAAGAATTTCCAGATCATCCACGACAATGACCGTGAGCTTTACAGATTCTTACTACCTGCATGTCAAATACTTTGTGAATCCTATTCCCTACTCTGATGAAAAATTGGTGCACTATATAAGTCAGGGATGGGCAACTGGCGGCGCGGCCCCCCTTTTGAAGGCCCTCTGATCAGTCGGGGTCTCAACTTACTGTTGCAAGCTGTAATTTTGAAATTTGGTTGTGCATCAGCAGTTTTTCTCTTATGTCAGTCACTGGTAGTCAGTCAATTAGGCCATGTCAATATTTTATTTATTTATTGCTAAGTTAGTTTTGCGGCCAGCTATTGAATTACCGGCTTGGGGCCCCCATTGATTGTGTTAGTCAGTATCACTCAGATATCATATTCAAAACTGTTAACATTTCTCTCCACCCTATGGCAAAATGTGTAGAATTGCAGGAAATTAGCTATAAAATGTAAAGATCATCAATTTTGTGGCCCCCACCCCCATCAAAGTTGCCCATCCCTGATATAGGGAATAGGGTGCCATTTGGGATGCAGACAAAGGACAGAGCACAGTGCAAGGATGGCAGCAGTCCTGTGTGTATTAACACACATACTAATCTCTCATGTTATCCTATATTGATGTCATTCGCTCTGAATCTGGCATACTGGAGGGTTTTTATTCTCCATATTTTTACTTATTCAAAAATATATTTTCACTCACTTCTTTTAAAGTTAGATTTTTAAGGTCTGCACCTGCTTTAACATCTGCTAATCTGTGTATGCGACAAATACACTTTGATTTGAGTAAAGATAGTTTATATTGTTTTATGTAACTAAAAACCCACATTTATCAAGTTATCACTTCTTCGTTTTCTGTTTCTTTCTCACCCCTTTAGCGGACTACATTGTGATGCAGTTTGGGCGGGTTGCGGAGGATGTATTCACCATGGACTATAACTACCCTATGTGTGCCCTCCAAGCCTTCGCCATTGCTCTCTCCAGCTTTGACAGCAAGCTGGCCTGTGAGTAGCAGCCATCCTCTCCCCTTTACCCTCCTGAGAAGCTACCTGCCCCTAACTGAAGGGCTACTCATGGGCCTCCATTAGTCCATCAGTCCCCTCACCAGGGGCTGCAGTTAATCCTGGTCACCATGGGGACCCAACACTGTCCGAGATCCCCCCTGGAATTTGCTTAAGCCGAGGATGGTGTGGAGGCACAAACTGTCTGCAAGTGTTTCTATTGAGTGTGTGTGTGTGTGTGTGTATGTGTTCTGGTGCTCCTAAGGAACCCTTCCAGTCTCTATTCTGGATAAGGATATGTCAATCAGTGGACAGGACAAGCACAAAGACTAATCCACTCTTGCATCTTAAGGCTCATTTTAATAGATCATGTTTTAAATTAAATATGTAACAATGAATCCTGTTACTTTATGTATCCGTTGTGGAATTCTAACATTTTTTAAACCATTAATTACTTATCAATGAATTTAACATGTATTGCAAAAAAAAAACTAACAACTGTTCATCTTCATGTTGAATTGGTTGAAGGAGTTTCATCGTAGTAATTAACCCCCACATGCCACCTTTAACTTATTCAATATTGGACTGGAAACCATTAGGTTACAAATTAGGACCATTCAAGATTGAAAACATAATTCATGATAAAACTCCTAACAAATAACACTTTAACTCCATAACTGTAACTAATATTACTCATTTGAACATCACATAACATTCACATCCATTTATGTATTTATATTGTTATTTATGTATTTATACATATCCATGACACAGGTAAATGCCAAAATAAAAGAAACACCAACATAAAGTGTCTTAATAAGGCATTGGGCTACCACGAGCTGCCAGAACCGCTTCAATCAACCTTGGCATAGATTCTACAAGTGTCTGGAACTCTATTGGAGGGATGTGACACAATTTTTCCACAAGAAATTCCATAATTTGGTGTTTTGTTGATGGTGGTAGAAAACGCTGTCTCAGGCGCCGCTCCAGAATCTCCCGTAAGTGTTCAACTGGGTTGAGATCTGGTGACCTGAGACACACACCCTTTAAACCCCATATGCTCCTTTGAGACCCCTCTTTCAAAGTCACTAAGATCTCTTCTTTCAGCCATGGTAGCCAAAATAATGTGCAACTGGGCATTTCTATACATGACCCTAAGGATGATGGGATGTTAATTGCTTAATTCACTCTGGAACCACACCTGTGTGGAATCACCTACTTTCAATATACTTTGTATCCCTCATTTACTCAAGTGTTTTTTTTATTCTGGCAGTTACCTGTATGTTGTTCTTAAGTGTGTCCATATCCTTAGTTTACACTAATTGAATCTTTGTTTTGGAGCCTGAAGCACACAACATGATTGAAGGGAATATCTGTCATACCTACACATAGGATAAAAACAGATAGTTAATCAATTGGACATGAACAGACCAGGTCAAGTCAAGGGCATGACACACAATCTGTGCATCTTGTAAAACATCATACCACACTATCATGTATGAGAATGTATAGGATGGTGCACTTTAACGACGTTCACAGTGTATGTGAAATAGCTGTACATATTGTGCCTTTGGAGACAAAATCCAATGTTATGCTTTAACTTTATCAGATGTTCTTCTCTCTCTGGGACGGGACTTTGTAATGCAGCTGACCTGTCTGATCCTGGGTTTCTTTGTTCTGCCTGCTTCCTCTCCCACCCTCTACAAGAAAAACACTTCTTGAGGTGACGGGATTTGGCCCCTTTTCTATTTGGTTATATCTGATTATGTAATTTTCAGATGACGAAGTCACTAAAGGCAGGTATTTTATATGCCCCCTACTGTAAATTCTCAACTCCCTGAATAAAATATGATTTACTAATTTGTCCCCAGAAATCTTAACAAAATATATTCAGTAATATAACAAACAGAATCGGTTATTGGCACCAGACACAAGACCATGGGCATTGTGGTTTGCAGATTAGATATCTTCATGAATTTATCAGATGAAGGTTATCAGTTCATCTGATAATGTGAATCAGTTCACATGTTATCAGAGACCAAACCCCTCAGATATGGCAAGGATAGCAGCAGTCCTGTGTGTATTAACACACATAGTAAACTCTCACGTTATCCTATATTGATGTCATTCTCTAAGAATCTGGCATACTGGAGGGTTTTTATTCTCCATATTTTTACTTATTCAATAAATATCTTTACACTCTTATTTTAAATACATATTTTTCCTGACTTTATTGAACAGATAGAAAGAGAAGATGACCGTGGGGAACGATAGAGAGGTTGTGTCAAAGGGCAGTAGGCTGGATTCAAACCTATGCTGATACTGTAGAACTGTGCTGGAGGCGACGACATTCCCACTATCCACACTTCTTGAGAGGCAAAAACCTTTCACTAAATATATGAAACTATTTTATATTTTATGGATATTAAGTGTTAAATGAAGACTTTGCCAAATGAAGGCAAACAGCAAAGAACAATCTCTGATGAGACAGCTCATTGCTATTGTAAGTTATATGGAAAAGGGTCTACTTTAATCAACCATGATATTCCTGTTTCTTAGTAATGTGTTCTAACTCTTCTGAATTTTTAGGCAAATTGCTTAGATCCTTGCAGAAAAATACAGAGCTTTTCATATCAAGTTTCTGTGTCCAAGAAACAAGGCCCTTTCATTCCATGAGTGTGTTAAGTGCTGTTTCGCTGTAATGTAAAATGTGTACATTGTTCAATATACAGTGTTTGTATACACACAGTTCTCTGATTATGAAAAAAATAAAACTCCAATGAGTCAAACCTGTCATTAGTCAAACAACAGTCATATGCACCCACAGTACTATGTATAGTCTCTGACTGAACCCCCTTAGATGTGAATGAAGTGATGATATGGTTGAAGAAGGACAATAGGCAGCTAGGACAGTGGACAGTGTCCTCGAGGACAGTGGTACGGTTGTACAGTGTATTCAACAGGAAAACAGGAGAATCAGATCCAACTCATGGACAATTCATGTTTTATTACGAATACATTCTGGTCTTAATAGTTGCTGGTTTTGAATTGTATTTTATTTTTTATGTTACCTTTTAATACAATGTGTCCACATTTAATAGATCTGAGATACAAAACCTGGACTTAAAAAATGAGTAAACAGAGGTAGATCATTCATGTGGGTCCCTGCTCTCTCTCTGTTTACAATCTATCCCAGAGGACACCAGGGTCTCTACAATGCTTGACTGCCATATTGGAATAAGGTTAGAGTCAGATAGTTTGATGTCTGTCATCAAAGGACATGGTGAATTGTGGGTAAATGGTTTTCTTTAAAGCAGCATGAATATTAGGGTATTAGGTAGTCTAGTTAGGATCACAAGATTCACCCACTGAGCAGCATCTTCTGTCCTGGGACGCAAGGAGACAGGATTTAAATGGGGATTTGCATAAGGAGAGGTACATTCTAGGGAAATATTCAGAACATTCAGTAAGGTTAAAGGGCTAGAGAGGCTAGTTTAGGATGAGCTAGTTTCCTCATTGACTCTGCCCTCTATGTCTCTCTCCTGTTCCTCATCCTGAGAAAACTCCCCATCCCCAGCTCCCCAGCCATATCTGGTGGGGTGAAGCTATCTGTCTCTTCAGACTGAGACAGTAGAAGGTACTCTTCTTCTTCCATCTCTTCTTCTGCTTCTGGATTACTACAGACGTCACAACTAAAACTGAGAGCCTCGGCCTCCATCAGTGGGTCTTCTTCATCACCTACTACTTCCTCTTCCTCTGTCTCATCCACTTGCTCCTCCTCTTCTTCTTCCTCCTCCTCCTCCTCCATCTCCTCTACTTCCTCCTCCTCCTCCTCTTCTTCCTCCTCCTCCTCTTCTTCCTCCTCTTTCACCTCTTCATACCTATATTCATAGACCGTATCCTGCTTAGGGTAGTGAAACACATCTTTGTGGTCGCTGAATCTGATTTGCTTTTTTACTCTGCTGGGACTACTACCCTTTTCTTCAATTCCTCCTTCAGGAGGTGGGGGCAGACAGAGCTGCTGCTCCTCCTCCTCCTCCGCCTCCTCTTCTTCTACCTCCTCCTCCTCATCCACCACCTCCTCAGCCAGGGCCTCAGCAGTGAGTATCTCTGAGTCAGCAGCAGGCTCCTCCAGGATGGTGATGGGATCATAATTGCCACTGCGCCTGCCACCGGGCTCCTCATACCGGGGGTAGGTCTCCTCAGGGTAGCCTGGAGAGATACACACAAACATGGAATGACAGGGACACACACTACCAGAGGGGACAATCAGAATATCAACTGTCTCAGACAGTCCAACGTTTTTGCTAACTTACCTTTTCCACTTAACCTCTGTCATAATTCTACAGAAGAAAATAGTAAATAGTACTCAAAGCGTCATGTGAATGTTGTTATTGTCTGTGTGGTGAGTGACAGAGAGGAGCCTGTTGTGTTAACCTACCCTCCCAGTCAGCAGCGTAGGGCACCATCTCAGCCTCCATCTCAGGTGTGGCCCCCTCCATCAGTCGTACCTCCTGCATCACCCGGCTGATCTTACTCAGCTTCCGTAGTAACTTCTCCTCCTGCTTGGATGCTCTTCTAACCTTGCTGCTAGTCCTGCTGCATGCCACCAGAGAGCAGCAGAGAGGAGGGGGGGGAAATGGGCCTCAATACCAATGTGGTTCTTCTCCCATTCATACCACAGTGCTTCCAATCTGATCAATCTTTATCTATAGCCTGGAGATTATTCATTTCCACTTTGCTCATGATAACCTTTTATGCCTTCCTGCAACACTTTCACAGATTACAAATGTTAAGTCACAAACACATTTTAATGGAATAGCTAAACACTGCCTCTAGGATGAGCAATATTAAGAAGTTATTGTGCAGAGGTGAAAAATGGGAAGTTAACAGCTGAGAACCACTAATTGACTGTTATTGATCTAATATACCCCTTATTAAGCAAGATCAGAGTGAATATTGTTAGTTATCTGTGGCCCCAATCTCTGTATAATACAGGAGGCTTTTAAATGTACATGCTTTCCTTCAAGTTGCAACAAATCTACAATGAAGTACAATCTTCATGAAGTACAAAATTTACACTTGCATGGTGGGTAAGGTGCGAACCAATAAAGATTGTCATGTTTTAATGGTTGGATCTGCCCAAAAAACTGAAATGGCACATGAGCAAAGGAATGCCTGAAGGTGGGAAAGTTAATCAAAGAATTTGCCCTTTCATTTTTATGTGGCATCCACATATCCCTGAAATGGCGTCATTTCTTTGGCTCTTCTTTGAACTGAGAAGTAGTGTGTAAATGGAAATATGGGCCGTTTACCTGTCAGGAGTGCTGCTCCTTCTGGAGACGATCCTCTCCATCACCTTCTCTGTCTCCAGCAGCTTCTCTTGAAGCTGGGCCAGCTCATCATCTGCTGGGAGGGAAACAAGGGTTGCTTTCCAATGTTGCAGAAAGCCTTGAGATTCAACATTCACTCTGCTCTTTCAGTACTACACGATCAATACTCAGGATTCTTTTGAATCAACTATTGTGACTCAATGTTTCCTAATTTTGGAAGGTGAGAGTGGCATTGACACATAGGACATGTATAGATTTCTATGCTTGTCCCTGTCAAATTGTCCCCACCCCTACCCCCTTGGCATCCATTTGATGAATGGAACTAAACCTCTTAGTGCTGATCCAAAAGACATGCAGTTAATTGGTATTAGACCCTGCTGGGCTGAAAAAACATTACTTATGATTGCTAATCCAGGTCTAACAAAGGCAGGGAACAAAGCTCCCTGCGAATTGGACAGGATCCTAATCTACCTTATCATGGAGTTGCTTAAATTGGAGCTACTGATACATTCTGCAGGAGCCCTGACAAGTGGGATGATCAAAACAATGAAACAAGAAGGAAGTTGATTGAAAATAAGCCCTCAAAGTCATGAAAGAGGTGACTGTTAGAGAGGAACTCATTTGTCAGATGACACATTTCTCCTCGCAGGGTGTGCTATATCCTGCATTAGTCTTTCATCAGGGTGAGTCATCACAGACTATAGGACCTAAATGGTGTGTGTTAGGGAGGTCAGGTGCGTGGGACTCTTTTCAACTGCGCTATGAGATAAAAGGCACATCATATACATAATCGTGTCATTCACAATGGCTTAGGTATTAATGATGTGATGCTGTCTACTTACTCCTCTTCTTCTGCCAAGCTTCAGATGACATTGTAGGAAATCGGCATACCGGTTTAGTACTTTTTCCTTTAGGCCTAGTTGTCATCTGTGAATACAATAATGCAATTACTGGATGCACTGGACTACTAGCCAGTACAGGTATTACATGGATGCTGTTAAAAACTGTAATAAAGCCTACATCTTCTACATTCCTGCCTGCATGTATGATAACACCCCCTCTAAATCGTTTTCCTATCCATTTGACTGAGCCAGTCTAGGGTGGATGGACGTAGTGTAGCTTACCTTGAATATGATGAAGAGGATGTAGAGTAGGATTCCAAATCCATAGATGGGAATGACCTGGCTGATCAGATTGGATTTAGTGGCTCCTCGGATCTGAAGTGTGCCCATGCCTTTGACTTTAGCCAGGACCTCAGGGCTGTGGGGCCCAGAGTCATGAGTCCCCTCCATCCACTGTCCAAGGCCCTCCTCTGGCATCTGTAGGCGATGCATCATGGGAGGATAATACCCAGGACCAACTAGGAATGAGAGCAGAGAGCACTGATCAACACACTGGGAAGAAGCCTGCAGCATTCAATGGTATTCAAGTGGAATATTGCCCAGTATAGATGTTTGATATGAATGACGGGTTAATCAACTTACAGTTTACTGAACACAGCACTGAACACAACACAGCACTGAACACAGCACAGCACAGCACAGGCCCCCTCTGACAGATATAACGGGTGAAAGATACAGTATAATATTTATGGAGAGAGATGGTCACAATGAAGAACAGGAAGAAAAAGAAAAAAAACCATGACAAATTACAATGACTTTATTGACTTTATTTGAGTGGTGTAGGAGTTCACAAAACTGGCAAGGGCAATGGGGAGCAGAACATAGCGCAGAGGATAACCTCCTAGACTAAATAGATGCATACAACCTGATGATGATGACAATATTGTAGGTTATAACTTACAGTGGTAGGCTATTGGTAAAAAGTAAGACTTATATGAAATGCAGTATTCGATATTTAAATGCAGTTATGTATTATACATTATCTAGCTTTGCTGGCAGGTTTGTAGATGGCTAGAACGATATGTAAAATATGGCATTATCTTCCAAGCATCAAAGCCGAGCTGCACATCAACAACAGAACGGATCAGTGATAAGCTGCCTTACCCTCGGGCTGCCCTACATCCTTCTTCCCTCTCGGTAAAAGCATTTTGGGAAGGAATAACGAAACACAGAGGACAGAGCAGGAAATCAGAGTAACCTTCTGCATAGTTGTCATCGACATTTTTTCACAGATAAACTGTACCAGAGATATTAGAGAAAGTAGGGTAAGGAGTATCTCTGGCTGTACATCAAGCCTCTGGTCGTCACTAGTTACCACAACCACAAAGTCATAATTATGGCTAAATCCCGCCCATTTGTACAATGTATCTTCTTCAAATCTGATTTTAAACCAAACCTTAACCACACTGCTAACCTTATGCCAACCCTAACCTGAAATGTAGACCTAAAAGCGAATTTTTACGACATAATCCATTTGGACTTTGTGGCTGTTGTAACTAGTGGACACCTCAAACCTCCAGCATCCTTCCTGATTTTACAGCTTGACGGAAGTGACCTGTTTTGTTTTGGCTTTGTGATTGGTGTATTTTGATGCAGTTTGCAGTGGTCATGGCTAGAAGGGATCCAGGTTTTGTCAAATTAACCTCAGATGTTACTATTCGTAGCAGGTCAGGAGGATTTACGCAGCAGGTTAGGAGAATTAGGTTAGATTAGGAAAAAGGGTTAGGGTTAACTAAAATGCAAATAATATAGCATGGCAATTGCAACGCCAGGGTTGTGGGATCGTTTCCCACAGGGGGCCAGTATGAAAATGTATGCACTCATTAACTGTAAATCGCTCTGGATAAGAGCGTCTGCTAAATGACTAAAATGTAAATGTAATGCCTGCTTGCATTCTCATCCACGAGAGGCATCATCCGCGGTCTAACAAAGTGGGCCCTACCGTGTAATTCTAAAGATATCCATCAGATGGCAGTACAGGTTTAGCTATTGGAAAGGAACACTGCCACTACCTTGCTCTACAACCAAGGTGCGTCACGAATTGAGGAGCAAATGCAATTGGTCAGATTTCTGCAACATTTACCAATCACATCATGTTTTGATTTGTATTCGCATAGTGATTGGTCCATGAAGCCACAGGAGGCCATTTGAAATGTATCCTTCATTTTCCTTGTCTGTAATCTAATTCTAATGTAGGCTGATCAATGTGTTAGGCAGTGGAGGCTGGTGGGAGGAGCTATAGGAGGACAGGCTCATGGTAACGGCTGGAATGGAATTAAAAGGAACGGAGTCAAACGTGGTTTCCATATGTTTGAGACCATTCCATTCATTACAATGAGCCTGTCCTCCTATAGCTCCTCCCAGCAGCCTCCACTGGTGTTAGGCTACCTGTTGTCCCTATGCCTGCAGTAAATGATCATGTTTTTACACTCAATCAGGTAACGCAATTCTATTCCTTGGCCCTTTAGTGTAATACTTTTTGAATTACTTCAGTATGATAAAACAACCTGTAGGTCGAAACTTTTGCAGTTTTGAAAGCAGCCCTTGCCCATCTCAGGTGGGTCCATGCTATCTGGATTCCTTGGGACGTTCCTACCCCATTGAAGTTTACATTTTAAATGGTTAGGGTAGGGACGGCCCAAAGACCCAGATGGCATGGACCGTCTCAGCAGTTGGCAATTGTAATCAAGGGCTGGGTCAGTTACCTTGAGTATAAAGATGGCGGTTTCTGTTAGATCTGTAAATTCCATTTACCATGGCATAGGTGGTACAGGGAGGACGGTCGAGCGGCCTATTATATTCCGAATTAAGAGCAGTAGGCCAGATTGTAACTATTTATGACAAGTCACCCAACAAAATACTTACCCTACTCTAAACTTGAGATATGGTTCCATATGTTTGATATGTCACATGGCCTACAGTATCAGTCCTTCAGGAATATTGACAAAGGTCTCCTTGAAACAATGTCAGTCTAGTCTCATTACCAAAGTTGGCCTACAGTAATTGTGTTCATTGTGCAATTATAATTGCCCCAGGATGTTTTATTTTATGTGATAGTTTTGTAGCCTGCGTAGGCTAGCAGACTAAACTCCAACCGTAGCCAAGGCTAGTCTACAATAGGCCTTGGTTAGGGCCCACTCACTTTGTTTTATGAGTGTGAATGTATAGTTTAGCCACATGAGGTCTGTTCATAGATTTATTAAAGCAATTTACATTTTCCCGGAAAGGTGACATTTTGAGAAGGCATGCAAAGAAAGAAAACAATGTGGCTGTTGCAGTAATATCATTCTGAAGGTTGCCACCCTGTCTCTCACAGCAGTCTGTCATTGATCCCAGGCCACATCAAAATACCTCCTCCAATGTGGTTTGGTAATCCTTGAGCTTCACGCTTAGATTATAAACATAAAACACTCAGATCATCAGAGCATCTTTTGCTTACCTATATTCAAGATATTATAATTTTACAATGTGGTGTTAAACTCAAACCTTTATAGGTCTTATAGGTCTTACCAATATTTGTGTTGAAATGAAATTCTGTGAAAACTGGCACCATTGTACATTATTGGCCATGCACCCACAATAATATTTTAATCCTGGGAAACAAATATGCATTTGTGTACCCTCTCTTGGAGGAATGGATTATGTGTAGATTATCAGTGCCAACCAGCATATGATTTGAACAGAGAGTACAGATGTTTAATATGGCAGATAGCGAGCAATATGCTGTGAGTTTTTGCCACCACACACTTACTTCAAAGTACTGTGGATGTGCCATAGCATTTAATAATATGTGGGTATTAGGGATTTCAATTATTGTGATTCTTGGCCTTAAATTGTGGGTACTTTGAAGAAAATAGTTTAATTTTACCACTGTCACCCCCCCCCCCCCCCCCCCCCCCCCCCTCCCCCATTTCACTTTTATTTTCCTATTATTCTAGTCGACTCAACTGTGAATTGGCTTAAAATGTATTTCCATGTTCCCCATAATTGCAGTGTTGTTAAAATAAGACTTTGATGGTTCTCATGGAAACCCATAAGTACACATCACGCTGTGCAATTACTCAAAAAATAAAACCTGCTAATGTCAGAGTGGTGAAAATATCACAGTGTACTCTCATTTCCAAAATCCAACTGGGAAGTATTACATTTTGAATTCGACCACATGCATGCTCACAGACACATGGAAAAGCCATTATGAGGAATCAAATACTAAGGTCTGTGGGTACATTTTGGACAGTGCCTTCGGTAATTTGCTTCTAGTTTGGACGATGCCATGCAGGAGGTATGTGTGAGAGTATGGCCAATTCACACTGCAGTGAGGCACATTGGTAATACTAGGCACTCTGCCTTTATCTGTTTACTGCGCCTCTCTTATCAAGTCTTTAATTACTTAATTATTCTTCATTAGGCTCAATTAAAATACAATAGACTCGCTGCAGCAAAAGTCAGGCAATTTCTGCTCCCTCTCAGCAGTGTACAAAGCACAACAGAGGTAGGCTACCGTGCATGCCCTTCTATATGTACTTGGAAAATGAGTTTTCTTAGATGAAAGTCCTGGGTTCTCTCTTATTGTTATGCTAACAGCAAAATGTAAAACTGACTCTTGTGAAATGTTCATGCTCCTCTATGTCTTGTGAGCAATAGATTCACATACATGGCAATCAACACACCTTCACCAAACAAAATTGCTTTCAGAAATGGAAATTGTTTTCTTTCTCTATATTCATGCAAGTGATTTGTTGTGCAATGTCACCTTACTCAGTGGTAGTGTGTAGCCGGGCCCAGGTTTACATCAAGTATTTTTTTCCCTCCCCTTCTCTCTGCCTCTGTCTAAATCAGTCAATTTATTTCCAAATTGCAAGCTGAGTGTAGGAGCAAGGGCTTTTTCAGTGGTTGGCGAAATATTAAATCAATGCACCCCTATATATGGAGAAGGTTTAATTTTTTATTTGATATTGATGGGGATGAACCTGGCTTTGAGTGTCATGAAGGACATACTGTTTCTAATCCCAGGCCTTTATATTCATAGAACAAAGACAGTTGTGAAAAGTGAATGAGGTGGATTAATGGAGTCGAAGGAGGATGCTGTGCTGTACAGCTAGGACAGTCCTTGAGTGGCTTTACTGCTGCTGTTGTCAGACTTTTATTTATTAGCATCACAAGAAGGACAGTTGCCCCAAGGATTTGAATAATCCACTGGTAACAAATGACCATGGGATCAAATTTAAATGTGTGCTACCTTTATGATTATCCCCACCCAAATCATAAACAGAAGTAATTTATTTTAGTTAACCTTTATTTTAACAGGGAGTTCTCTTTCACAGATGATCCCTGTATACACATCAATACACATCAAATATTGGTGGGCACATAGAGATAGAACAACTGTTCTACATAGAGATAGAACAACTGTTCTACATAGAGATAGAACAACTGTTCTATTATCTATGGAGGGCATTAGTGGCCATTGCCAGCTATGACAGCAAGTGTGGTGATGATGATAATGAAGTAGGTCTATTGTGCTGTTTCAGAGGTTGCATACAGTGCATTCGGAAAGTATTCAGACCCCTTGACTTCTTCCACATTTTGTTACGTTACAGCCTTATTTTAAAATTGATTAAATAAAAAAATGTCCTCATCAATCTACACACAATACCTCATAATGACGAAGCAAAAACAGGTTTTTAGAAATGTTTGCAAGTTTATAAAAAAAACAGAAATACCTTATTATCATAAATATTCAGACCCTTTACTATAAGACTCGAAATTGAGCTCAGGTGCATCCTGTTTCCATTGATCATCCTTGAGATGTTTTTACAACTTGATTGGAGTACACGTGGTAATTCAAGTGATTAGACATGATTCGGAAAGGCACACACCTGTCTATTTAAGGTCCCACATTTGACAGTGCATGCCAGAGCAAAAACCAAGCCATGAGGTCGAAGGAATTGTCCGTAGAGCTCCGAGACAGGATTGTGTCAAGGCACAGATCTGGGGAAGGGTAGCAAAAAATGTCTGCAGCATTGAAGGACCCCAAGAACACAGTGGCCACCATCATTCTTAAATGGAAGAAGTTTGGAACCACCAAGACTCTTCCTAGAGCTGGCCGCCCGACCAAACTGAGCAATCGGGGGAGAAGGGCCTTGGTCAGGGAGGTGACCAAGAACCCGATGGTCACTCTGACAGAGCTCCAGAGTTCCTCTGTGGAGATGGAAGAACCTT